TACTAATACAGATTTAAAAGCTTTTAAAAAATCCAAAAGTGAATTGGTTGCATTCATATAATTTTTCATAAGATTATTTATTGATTCTTCATGCTATATACTTATCATATCTGCTAAAAATATATCTCTATTAAAATAAGATGCCTATTTTTCCTTTACTTTATTCATTCTTTCTAAATGTGCTTTACAATCTGGAAAGTTTATTTGAAGTTATTGTTATTTGATTATAAAATTATCAATTTCATATTCTTTTGTATATTCATAAATGCTTTTGTAAAATTATGCCAATTTACTCTTAATGTACTACATAATTCTAAAGATGTCATATATATAATACATGTTTACTATTTTAACTAAAAACATTTTGTATAGCTTGAGAAATTGCTTTATTTTCATTTGTAAGTATTATTTTTGGTGGATTATTATTAATTATTTTAAGAAATAATTTAAATGTCTATATAAAACTATTAATTGTTTTTTAACATATTAAAGTTCTAGCAAAACATATACTTTGACCAAAATTATTTACTCCTGTAAAATTCCAAATGGTATATTAAATTGATTAACTTTGTATGTATTATCAAAAACAATTATATCTAAAAATCTACAATATTATTATTTCTGTTTTGGATTACTTGAAGTAATTCATTTGAACTTTTATCAACTTTGATTTCATATTTAAATCCATTAATTTCTCTTTTAAATTGCTTTAAAGTATTAATAAATTTATTTGTTCAAAAAAATAATTATGTAATTTATTATCCAATTGATATATATAGTTATAAATATTATTATAAATCCATATTTTCAATTCTTGATATTCTTGTATAAGAATAGATTTAATAGTTGATACATTATAATCTGCTTGATGATAAATTTTAATTTGATCTTTAATTTCTTATAGAATTATTCTTTGATTATTTAAAAATTTTTTATACTCAGAAATTATTATTTCATAATTATGTTTCAAATTTATAGCCAAAATATACCAAAGACCAGTTTGTAAATTAAATGATACTTTAATCATAAAAAGATAATTACATCTTTGAGAATGATGATCTCTTTGATAATTTTTTTTCTTTTTTTTTAGCAATACTTGCATGTAAATATAATATAATTTTTTTTAATAATATTATTTTTATTATGTTCTTATATAAATTAATTTTCATTTAATAAAATTCGTTAAAACTTATTATATACCCTCAATATAGGTTAAACATTTACACTTCTAATGTAGGTTAAGGATGGCTGAAGTAATTAGATAAAAATCACATGAAAACTTTGATTGTAATTTTCTCTAAATCACGTAACTATCTGAGTCCTACCTTTTTCTATGAGTTTATTTATATAAAGCTTTTATTTTCTTTTAAGTATTTATAACAAGTTTATATATAATCATAAATTAATGAGTGACATAGTTTAAAAATTTCTAAAAATAAAAATAATTCAAATATGAATATAATTTTAAATTTATAAATTGAAAAAGTTTATAATTATTTTAAAACATTTATAAATAATTTTATATATACTATTTAAGAAATAAATAATAATATTATATAATAAAGATATTTTATAATACTAACATATATTATATGAAGATCTATATAGAAAAATCTAAGATTAAAACTAATCATATGATTTTGAAATTTTGTAATAATCATATACCTAAAGGTCTAATCTTTTAGAAAATAAGATTTTTGAAAATAAATAAAATAGTAAAAAAGTAATGTAAAATTAACTTTTTATTATTCTTTTTTCTTTAAAGACTTTTGCAAATTTTGCTAAACTTAAAGATGATTATAACAAAATTACAATTTGTAACTTTACTTTTAATTTTAATAATCTACTTTTTAATTAGAATTAAATTACTTTTTTTAAAGAGATAAAAGAATTTATATAAAAAAATCACATTTTATGTTAATTTACTCTTTCATAATATTATTTATTTTAAATCAAAAAAAAATATGAAATAAAATAAAATAAATTATTATAATTAATAAAGATAATAATATAACTAGTTTTATTTATATAATACTTATTTATCACTAGTTACAACTAGTTTTAACTTAATTTTTATTAATATTATAACTAGTTACAACCTTATGATGCTTATTTATTACTAATTACAACTAGTTATAATATTATTTTTAATAATTAAGTTTAAAAATCTATAACATAATCAAATAAAATAAGACTTTTTTTTGTTATAATATTGCTATTTCATTATTATTATTTTTTTTTAATATTTATAAGTAATAACATTTTTAAAAAATAAGATTTTTAGAATAATCATTTTTTCAATTACATTTTTGCAAAATTTTTTTTATATTATAAAGGCTATTTTTAAAAAATTATTATTTTGTATGATTATTAAAATCAATTAGTTAACTTAAATCTCAATTTTCTTAAAATTATATATTTAACAAAATTTCATATTTGCTATATAGGTTCCTATATAATTATTCTTAAAATATAATAGTATTATTAGTAATTTATATTATAGATCATATAATTTATAATTTAATATAGTTAACATTTTATAAAAGCTATCAAAAGAATTTTAATTAATATTAAATTTGGATTTATTTTATTAAAAAAATAATATTTAACTTATAAAATAAAAAATTTTTTTAATAATTTTCTCCTTTTTTATATTTATAATAATATATTTAAAATATATTTTTTATAATAAAAAATTATAAATATATAAAATAATATTATAAATAATTTTTTCTATTTGAAAAATTTAGAATAATTTATAGTATTTTTTATAATTATATTCTTGAATCAAAAATAAAAAAGTGTGATTATAATAAAAAGTAATTAGATAAAGAATTTTTGTATATTATTATTAAGTATTAGTTCTGAAAAAATATAACTATAAAATACTGTAATTATAAAAGGATTTTTTATAGTATTAATAATATTAGTTCTTATGAAATATATACTTATAATAAGAAATTTATATGATGTAATTATACAGGAGAAAGAGATGACTGTAGTTATAATATAATTTTAATAATATTATAATTAGTTATAATCTTATAATATTTATTTATTATTAGTTATAAATAATTATAACATTATTTTTAATTTATATTATAAATAATTATAACATTATTTTTAATTTATATTATAAATAATTATAAAATACTACCACTTACAATAACTTGTTTATATTTTAAAATAATTATTATATAACATTTTAATTTAAAAATTTAATTACATTTATTAATTATTTATTTAATATATAATCAAAAGATATGATATAATATTATTTTTGTTAAGAATTGATTAAAAATCTAATAAATATTTATGTAACTTATATCTAATATAACTATTTTTTAAAATTTATTTATAATTAAAAATTTTAAAATTATTTATAATTTTATTTATATAGATCAAAAAGTATAATAGATATTATTCAAGAAATCATAAATTAGGTAGAATAGATTTAATTAAATAAAATGTTGAATTTAGACTGATTTTGATACTATTTACAGCTAAATTATTTATTTTTTAATTAATCTAATCAATGTCAATCAACTTTAATTAAATAAAATAAATTAATATTAATTTAAAATATAAATTTAACCATATATCAGACTAAAATTAACTTTAATTTAGCATCAATTCAACTATAAATCAGCTTCAATCTAACATTAATTTGAATATTAATTCAGCTATAAATTAGCCTTAATAATCATTATAGAATTGGTCAAAATTTAATCAATAATATTTATATTTTTTTCAATTCAAATTTTTATTAAAAATCATTAAATAGAATTCATGTTATTAATAATATGAAAAATATAAATTACTTCACAAATACTAAATCAATTTTGACACTTTGATTTATGAAAATTTAATTCAAAGCCTAAGTAAGTTGTTCAGCAGGTCCAATTAGTTGAATATTAATTTTCATTGATATTTGTTTGGTATATATGAAGTAATTTATATTTTTCTTAACGTTAATAATATACAAATTTTATTTTTCCATTTTGATTCAACAAGTCTGAATTTAATTTTTACAAAAAAAAAAAAAAATTCAGTTATAATAATAATATTATGATCATATTTTCAAATTAATAATAATACGACTTATATATGTCGTAACCCGCATTATACCATTAGGAAAATCTGGTTCCTAGATTATTAAGATCATCTTTTTGTGATCAACGTGATTCAAATAAAAGTTGCACTACCGAATGGAATGTTAATTCGAAATTCCAACTTAAATACCTATTTTTTTTTTTTTGAAAAGAATAAAATATGAACTGTCGCTTTCCCACAACTCGTTTTTCTATTTTAGCAGAAAGATTAACTCGTAGTAGAGTTACTACTCTTGCACGTCGTAACTTTGCTACAGAAGTAGTTTCAGAGGATTTTTTTGTTAAACGCAAATCTGTTGAGGAACATGCAAGAAGTAAATTTAGGATTTATTTATTTACTTGGAGTAATTAAAGAGCAATTAATTTTCTTCGATTTTAAATTTAAATGAAATTTATTTATATATAATTTAGAAACCTTTAATTTGTGGAAAAAGATTTCTTTAACCGTTGTTCCTGTAGTTTTGTTCATTAGCGTTGGCAATGCTATCATGATTATGAAAGAACATGAAGCTCATAATTTAGAACATCCTCATGAGGAAGTCGAACACCCTCCCTTCCAATATCAAAAAATCAGAAACAAGGTATAAACATATTTTTTTCATATATTCTTTAGAAAAGTTAATACTAACAATCTTTTTAATTTTAGCCTTTCTTTTGGGGTGATGGAGATCACACACTCTTTCATAATACTGCAGTTAATGGACCATAGATACTGATTAATAACTTAATATTAGAACATTTTTATATTATCATTGTTTTTCGCCTCTCGACAGTATAAGTTCTGTTCATTGTCTTTAAAGTAAATCAATTAATTTCTATTAAAATTAATCTATATGCATTTCAAATTTGATTTTTATTTAAAGCGAACCTTTGACGACTGTTAATTTGTTAATTTTCAATTTCATTGACGTCAAAAGTTTTTCTTGCAGTCTTAATATCTTTTTCCATAAATAATAATTCTTCAACACGCGCAAGTTTTTTCGGATCATTTCTTAAAATAAATTTAAAATCATCAACAGTAACTTTACGATCTTTAGCTACCTTTGATGCTTTCAAACACTAAAAAAAAAAATTATTTATATGAAATAGTTAGTAAAAGATATGTTCAATCCGATTTTAATAAAGGTTTTTAGTCAAAAAAATACCATTTCAGTAATATAATCATTTACAAGTTCTTCCATTACGTTCACTGTATCAGGTGCTGGGTCGGGTTCATCTCCAAACCCATACATTAATAAACGTACTAAAATCAAAATTGAACTTTGTTAGATCTAAAATTTACAAGTTTATAAGAATTTTCAAACATTTGGAATGGAATAAACATACAGTCTTTTGTAAATAAACCCTTATTGCCTTTAGGCGGACGTCCTCTTTGTTTGTCTGCCATAACACCAATTTTTTTAAAAGTATTGACCTAAAAATATTTACCCAAATATATTTACGACTACTTTAACCAACAAGATCGGTGACATATAAGTGAATTTTGTCCTAGTGTCACGGCGTGACGAATAACGAGTCATAGAAATTGTGAAAGGATTAAATGCTACTTTCGAACCTTTATTATTATTTACTGTGCTCTCGGAAAATTTCTGAAAGACGTTTCCTTACAAATGATGGTGTTTGTACTTTTTTTAATACATTTCGCATATTTGGGAGTGTAAAGATATATTTATCAAAGTGATAAATGTTCGCAATTCGAAATGAAAAAAAAAAAAAATACTGCTGTATTTAAGTATCAAACTCAATTAACTTAAGGCATTTTTATTTTTGAAGCTATTGTAACATCTCCAATATATTATAAGCACTTGAATTTCATATCATTTAATTAGCGAATTGTTAATCCATCAAAGACAGTTCCAACGTTCTCCTTATCACCATTTTTGGACTTGTCACTTTTCTTTTCACTTTGAAATACCCTCCAAAATTTCAAATTTTCATCGCTTGCTGCCGTGGAAACTACTTGTTTATCGGGACTGATTGCCGAATGCAAAATACGGGATTCATGTGCTGGAATGTCGGCAACTTTATTCAAAGTAGGATAAGACCAAATCGCCATATTATGATTCGGAAATCCATGGGTTGATAAAAGTTCTTTAAAATCTTTGGACCAAATGAGTGAAGTCACTTGAGATCCTGTATCGATAGATTTTACGCGGGCTCCAGAGTTCACATTCCAGAAATGAATATGACGATCATATGAACCTCCACCAGTAGCAAGAAGATGACTTTGCCATGGACACCACGCTAAAGCCTTATTAAGAAAGAGAAAGGTAATATTAACAAAAATATTTCATTAATATGTAAATATATATATATTTTTTCTTTTAAAACAAAATAATACAAATTACATACCTTTACAGCAGCAACATGATTGTTCTTCGTTAATTTTGGAGTACTAGATCTTGAATCCCAGATATTCACTCGATTGTCATTGCCTCCACTTGCCAATTGATCGCCATTGTAGTGCCATTTTAATCCACAAACTTCACTAGTATGGTCAATCAATTCAGCTACCTTATGATGAGCAATCCTGATATCATGATTCCAAATTTGTCCATCTTTACACCCCGAAGAAATAATATGTTTGTTCCATGTTAGCACCCCTACGCGTGCTGTATGTCCCATCATTGATCGAATTTTTTGCTCTTTTAAAACATCCCAGATTTGAATGTCACCATCACTTGTTCCTACAGCTAAATAATCACCATTACCTGACCATGATAAACTAGCAATGTAATCACTTGGACCAGTCCGTTCAAGACTCGTTACATTACCCGTGTCAGCGTTCCAAATATAAACACATTGATCTAATCCAATAGCGACCATGTTCTTTATATTCCAATCTAATAAATTCAAATAATAATCATCCAACAAACCTGGCGCATCAAGGACACGTTCCGGTGATGTCAAGATACGTCTTTTAAATTGAACTGATGCATTTGGTTTTGTTGGACGGTTATACAATTGACGTAAATCTTCTTTCTGACTTGAAGGGGGTTCGGGTTTAAATGCCAAAATACGTTTTTCAAGAGCAACACCACATGCTTCCGCCAATTTTTCCTGATATTCAAATTCATGACTGTTCAAGTATTCCCTTCCAGTCTCTCTTTGGGGAATTTTTAATTGCTCTGATAGATCTCCCATAATTTCATGTACTGGAATGAATCGATCAAGCTAAAGCATGTTTTATTTTATTAATTTATTATTATTATTATTATTATTTATAATTAACGTTAGAAACTTTATAAATATTTCAACGTAAACATGAAAATTTATATGATGGATCCATTATCATAACAACCTGAGGTTTGTTCTTTTTCCCCTTCGATGGAGTAGCTGCACCAGTCCAATCGTTTGCGACCACATCCAATTTTAAAACCTCTCTTTTGATGATACTCTTAGGACTTTTCTTTTTACACGATTTGAATACTTTGGTCAAATCACACTGTGAAACGTTAGAGGTTTTAGGTGAACCGCTAACCGACTTTGCACGATAAGGTGAAGTCAGTCCTGAACGTGTAGGTGTGGTTATACGCGAACGTGGCGACCGTTTTCGAGGTGTTGTTGTTATTGGGAAAGTCGACTGAAGTTGTGGAGGGTTTGAGGTCGCCAGTTTGACAGAATATTTCTGTTTTTGAGGGGGAACGGTAATTTCTTTTTATAAGCTTGCCAACAAAAAAACTATAGGAAATAAATTATTTCTTACGCTGAAAAATAAAAAGAACGGTTTTATGGTTTTGAAAATCTTTTGTTTGTTCTTTTTATCGTTCTGTCAAAAGAAGAAAGTTCGCTTTTAACATATGTCAAAATAGATATGATGGTAAAAGTATAAATAAAAAAGATTTTCATCACAACAAACTATTCAAAATTGTATTGGTAGAATCTCGGATCGGCAATCATTTGTTTTTTTTTATATAAAGGATAAAAGTTTCGTAATTAAATTAATTGTAAGGCCAACGAGATGCTTAGCCTTCATTGAGCCCATAATGTCCTTACGCGAGATGGCATAACAAAGTATTGACGATTAGGATTCACCATATTCATAAAATAATATTGTTTAGAGGTTGCAGATTCGGATATATTTGTGGATAAAGTTCCTCATTTCTTCGATGACGTCATCTCTCGCGATGAATTTTTGTGGCAATCGCGAAGTATCTAACACGTGTAGTGCAGTAGATCGACAATAGATTGCCCTATATAAAGCAATCCCTTTGTCGATCATAAGTGTCGACCATAAAACGATAAACCGTAATAAACCGTAATTATCAAAATGTTTCTACAAATTTAACTTTTCGAATAACACCTTTTCTTACTTGATTTATTTGATTCAATGTTTTTAACAAGCCCAAAAGTTTTTATTTTTGAACTTTTCTCACATCTTACTATGTAATCAAAATATTTTGAATTCCCAAAGTAAACTAGCCTTAAACAAGCTAACACAGTAGTTGATCATTTTCTAAACTATACTGCGCCTAAAACAGCTGATTAACCGGAAAAACGAGACAATCACAAAAATAAACAATAAAAACTTGTTGATTAAACCTCTTGGGCGTATGAGCTTGAATATTTCGTGAGCAAATGTGAAACTTAAAAGTAAGTATCTATATATCCATAGTCTATTTCGTATATCATACCTTATTTGTTGACATTTTCGAATCCTTTAGAAAATAAAAGATCCAAATTAAATTTAAAAAGAACGGTAAACTAATTAAAAAAAAATGGCCATATCACAAGGTAAGCTGTTTATATTTATTTTCTGATTTTTGAATCCTCATGTCAAATAATGAGAGGTTTAAACTTCCTTAGTAAATTTTCAAATGGTTCACTAAAATTTTTAAAAAAAGATTCTAAGGTTCCTCCTCCATTACCACCTCGTCGTAATATAGGCACGGGTGAAAATATGGAAGTTTTTAAATTTGGGAAGACGCCTCCTGCTTGGTTATATGCTTTGATACGTCATAGTCCTGGAGACAATGAACATCAACACGAATTTTATTTATCTGAAGCATTCGACAGCGATTATGAAACCGTACTTTTGTGTCAAAAATGCCACAGTTGGTTTCATTTAACGACCACCGCATCAAACATTTCTGGAGATAATGACCGTATGAACCTAGAACAAGGAAGATGCGTTTCCAATCGTGATACCAACTTACATCACTTACATACAACAACTATGACAAGAACATGTATTTCATCTAATTGTTGTTTGTGCAATTTTTCTGTGAATGTCAAAATTAGTGATCCTTTAATCGATATGGGAATATTTAATGATTTGAGTAAATTAAGGAGACTTTCTTCCTATGCGAATATTGTAAGAACTACCTCCGAATCTGAATTCAAAGCAAGTTTAAACGATGTCATTGATTATATGATAAAAATAGTCGATGATGTACTCAATGATGATATTCTATCTCTAACAAGACACTGCGAAGAATTTCAAGGGAAAGTTGGTTTGGATGAAGCGAGGTTGGTACATCTCTTTATATTTGTTTTGGTTGGTGTAGAATTATAAGTTCTTAATAATGATTATGGCTTTCTGACAAATGTTTTTTACCTCTAGCCAGGCTTTTTTCCAAAGGCTTGGTTTCCATTTTGAGAATAATTGTCTTAGTCCAACTGAAAAATTTAACAAACATAATATTAAATTAGCAAAAGAAGAGCTAAGAATGATATCTTTCGAGTTGAGTGAGTGACATGTTATTTGTCATATGATATTAATCATGTAATAATTTTAATAACGTATTGATGTTTTGTTTTGATCTATAGATTCATATTTGAAAATGAATGCGAAAAAGCCTTATGAAAAACTAGGCAATATTCTTGGAACGAAATGTAAATAAATTTTATTAGGGGAAAAAAAAAATTATAATCATTCCTTTAGCACCATTTTCTAAATTAAGAAAATTCTCTACATGATGATATAATAAAGATAACATTTGTTTCAGCGGTTCTTGTACGAAATTTGACCCTTCGATTGCAATTCGTCCATCACAGGCTAGTTGTTTTTTCTTAGGTTGCATGCCTGATATGGACGACCAAACTTTAATTTGGGCATATAAGTTAGGAATACAAGAATTCCCGGAAAAAACTTCAGAATATTTACAGGCAATATATGATATGTCAAAAGAGAAGAAAAGTGAAGCTCTAGAAGAGTTGGTTGTCACAGAACGATCTTTAGGTAAAGGCTTTATTTATTTATTATTCGACTTAGGATGTTCAATATTCTCAATTATCTGGTTTACGATGAATGTTTATAGGCAAATTTAGTGAAGATGAACTTAAGGATTCTTATAAATGTTTAAACGTGGAAGATTTCTCCGTTTCCGAACAATTTTTAATCGATACTTATAATATATCAGTGATTACCTTTCACGTTTACCTTTGTTTGTTTTTTGTTGATTTATTTATTTGTAATTAATTACTTTTCTTTTCTTTCTTTTAAGGTTCTTGAGCAACCTTCTTCAAGAGCAAATTATCGAAATGCTTTAACTATAATTGGAAAGGCTAGAAAAAGTGAAAAATTAATAAATTTTGTAAATGAGGGACAAATAAACGGTGAGGATATTTCCATCTTACTTTACGAATTATTGATATTGATTTCTTATAAAATAAGAAGAGAATTCTATGAGTAACGGTAATATTGATTTTCTATGCCATATATATTTATTATTTTAGAGGTTCAAATGTTGGATTATTTTTCAGAAATGTAAGTGAAAATTTTGAATAATAAATTAATTTCTTTTCAATATTTCATTTACTGTTAAAAACGGAAAATTTGTGATTGATCACATGTGATTTATTATTAGGCCAGTAGGGTTGGACAACATTGGGAACACTTGTTATCTTAATTCTTTGTTACAGGTCTGTATTAACTTGTTCCTTTTGTTGTACCGATATACCGATATGCTTACGTGTTCTGTTTTTTCCTTAGTATTATTTTACAATACGACCATTACGTCAAGCTGTTTTGAAGGATTCATCTAGTGCTGATGGTCATGAACTGGACTGGCAATCTATAACTATTGGTCATAGAAAAGTGTCAAGAGCCGAGGTTGAAAGAGCAAATAAATGTATATATGTTATATGTTCATTCCTCTGGAATTTATTATAACAATTTTTATGGAAATATCTTTAATAATTTGTTTTCTCTTTCTCGCTTAATGAAATCTATAACAGTTGTCGCACTTTTGCGGGGTTTATTTGTAAATTTAATACACTCTCAACAAAAATCTCTCTCTCCAGATATAGATTTGGCATATTTGGCTCTTGTCAATGCCAAAAGTGAGGAAGAAGAAAACAAAGATTCATCGAAATCTCCCATGGATTTATCAAATACTTTATATGATGATAAGATGGCTATCGATGATTCTAGCCCTGGCCCATCATATAAGGATACAGATCATGTTATGTCATCTGAGACGAATGATCATAATTATACTTCTGAAGAAGAGACTGTTGTAATGGAAGGCACTGCAGCTTCAAATGGAGGTGCGATGTCTCCCATTAATAACGAAAGCATGTACCAACCAAATGATGAATCAAATACATCTTATTCCTTAAAGGGAAAGGAGAAAGAAAGTAATCAGACGGACTTATCATCCGATTTATTTAACACTACTAAAGAAGAAAAACTTAGAACAGCTTCAGAAATGTTGTTTGGAAAACAGCAAGATGTCACCGGTATGTAATTTATTAGTTATTTTAATAATTCGTTCGTTAAGAAATCATTGCGACAAGTTTCCTTCTGATGTTGTCTATAGAATGTATGGATAATGTCATGTTCCAACTCGAAGCTGCATTGAAATCATCATTTATGACTGATGAAAATGGCGAAAAGCAAAATATTGTGAAGAGGTGATGGATTTTGCCCTTATATATTTCGTGTATACAGTCAAAGTACTTTATAACTAATATCCCGTTCCTTATAAAACATTTTAATTCTTAAACGATTCGTTATATCAATTCATTTTTGAAAATTCGTTATACATAAAAAATATCGCTATATTGCACTTCGACTGTATACATTTTATAGACATTTTTTTTTAATACATTTTTATTTTGTTTAGTTTATTTTATGGTCAAACACGACAGATTCTTCAATACAAAGATCAGAATACGGGTGATCCGGTTAATTTGCGCAAAGAAGAATCATTCAATCATCTGATATCCTTTATTATATTTTATATTTGTTTTAATTTTGAAAAACAAAGGACAAATATTTATTTAATGAAACGAAATAAGGTTCTTTCTTCTTTAACTTAAATATAATGTAAACATTGTAGTTGTTGCTGAAGGTCGTGATCTGTATGAGGGATTAGATGTTTATTTTGATACGTCTATGGTGAATTAATTAATTATAATTGTTGACTGGTATTCTTACGATTTGAATTTAATTTTCATACTTTCACGTTCTCCAATTAACTCAGGTTGAGTATGATCGCACTCAAGCGATAAGAGAAGTTACTATTACTAAGGTACCCCCTATATTACAAATTCACGTTCAGGTGAGGTTATTTATTTTGAATCATAATATATATTATAGAAGCAGCTTTCAACTTATTTACCAATGACGTATTGGTCATTCTTGAATATAGCGCGTGCAATTTGATCGAACTACATCCAACATTTATAAATCAAATGCTTATCTTCGATTCGATAAAGTTATTTACCTTGATAGATACTTGGAAAAGAACTACGATGTATTAAAACAAAAACGAATCGAAGCCCACAATTGGAAGCAGGAGATAGACAAAATGCAAGAAGAACTCAAAGATTATGAACAGGATAAGGTAACAAGTAAATTGATAAATAAATAAATAAATATATATATACGAAGCATCTGTTTCAGGGTTTTATTCAAGTTTACTAAATATATTTTTACGTATACAAAAGAAAACCGCGTTATCTACGGTCGATTTGCTTAAATCGACTGCTGATTTCATTCATGCTATGAAAAACCAATATTCTAACTCTCTGATTGATGAGAATTTCAATTGGGAGTTGGCTGCCATGGAACGAGAAAGCAATTTTGTTAATGATGCAATTGGAGGTAGGTTATGATTTTTAATATGTATTTGTATTATTATGTATTAGCTAATTCCGTATTATAATTATAGAGATTCATATTAAAACGACAGAATTAAAATCAAAATTAAAAGAACATTATCAAGACCTACGAGAATGCGAGTATCGCTTACATGCTGTTTTCATACATAGCGGTAAGTTATAGACATGCTTGTGATTTTATTAATCATCTAGTATGTTAATTTAACGAAATTTGTTAGGCCAAGCAACTTTTGGTCATTACTGGATATATATATATGATTTTGAAAAGGATCGATGGTTGAAGTTTAACGATTCATATGTAACGGAGGTATTGTAATTTCACTGAATAAATTAATTATTAAGCTATTAGCATATGTTTTTAATGTTAATATATGTGATTTAGTTAGAAGAACGTGACGTCTTTGCTGATACTACAGGTTCATCTGCAAATCCTTATTGTATGGTTTACGTGCGAGCAAAAGGTAAGATCTATTGTTTATTTAGGTGTAGAAGAACATGCTCGGGAAAATAAAACGTTTTTCTATCTTTTATTTCAGATGCTAAAGAATTAGTAGAAACAGTATGTCGAAAAAACAGCTAAATATCAGTTTATGTAGCAAATTGCACATTTTCCATATTCTTTAATCAGTTTTGATGTAATGTATTAGTTCTTTTGTTATTAAATTTTTTTTATAAAGTTATTTTGTATTATTTTTGGATTGTAAATGCAAATATTAGAAAATAATATTAATATTAAAGTTTTATTAATAAAAGTTATATTTTTATTCAACAGTAATAGAAAATATTTATGCTATAATCACAGAATAAATTATTGAGAAAATTCCAATCAATAAGTAACAAAATACTTGTTTTTTAAAAAATTAAATTACTAACATCATGACTAGATGCAGCATGAAGATCAATTTGCATCATATACATATCATACGAACTACAGAATAAAAAGAAGAATCGCAAGGAAATTCTTTATGAATTATTAATCTAAGTAAAAGAGTTTTAATTATTAAAATTATTTAATTTAGATTTTATGAATGTAGTTGAATTTACACTTTTAGTAGCATAGTGAAGATCATAAATTTATTATAAAAGAAGAATGGTTTTATCTAGTATTAGGGCAGAAAACAAGAATTAAATATAGGTTAATATAAAAATCCTATCCTAAACCATCGAATTACAATATTGTTAAACCCGTATATAAAAATCATTGTACCATTAATCATTACTCTATCCAATATACAAATCATAAATAAGTAATAACAAAACCTTCAGATAACTAATAACGTTACTGTACGTCAGTCGGTAGATTTAGTCTTGACGCGTATAACAAACAATATAATGAATTTAAATTCGAGTATTTATGATTAATAAATTAAAGATAAATCAGAAGTTGTATATATTATATTTTTGTATGAATTTTGCCAAATATGTGATATATTAATGGGAGACAAATCGAATTTTTAGCAATAAAATTTTCTCCGTTCCTCAATTAATTATTAAAAATGAGAAACAGAGGAGTATGACACGTTGTGATAAATAAATCCCAATCTTAAACCTAACCTTTACTAACAAATTAGTCAGTCTTAATTTATTTTTATTAATATTAAAAAATTTATAAAATTTTAACTGATTATATATAATAAATTATTAATAATTATTTTATAAATATTATTCCTTTATAATAAAAAATTGTAAACAAAATTTATTTGTAATTTAAATAATTATTTATTAATTTTTAACTTAAAATTTTATAATTTATCTATATTTTTATTTTTTAATTTTTTACTTAAAATATATCATCCCTTTAATTTTTTTTTACTTATAAATTTATAAGCAATTATTATTTATTATTAATTAAATCATTTTTAATTATTTTTAAATATTTTTAAAAGCTATTATTAAAAATTAAGATGTTCTAAGTAAACTTAAAAAAAAATGTAATTAATTAATAATTTTTAAAGATAAATATATAATAAATAAAAATTATTAAAAAATTAAATTTTTAAACTTATATATTTTGCTATTTATTAATCTTAAAATATAAAAATATTAGTTTTTAATGTGATAAATCCAAAAACTAACATTTTATTTTAAATAATAAATTATTTTTAAAATTTGATATATTTATAATTATTAATTTTAAAAATTTAAAAATATTATATTTTAATATGACAAATCTAATAAATTTTATTTTATTATTTTTATAATTATAAGATGTTAAAATATTTAAGTTTTAAAATGTTTATGAATAATTTATACTTACTGTTTAAGATAAAATATTTATGAAAATAATAAATTTTAAAAATTTGATTTAAAAGATATTTTATTAAAGTAAACCTTTTTTATATTATTAAAAATTTATAATTTTTTATAAATTTTATATATTTATTTTAAAATTATAAAATTATATAATATATATTTAAATTATTATTTATTTCAAATTTAAGCATTAAATTTTATAGTCAAAATTAATAAGAGATGCTTTATTTTAATTTTATATAAATATATATTAAAAATAATAGGTATTAAATTTAAAATATTATGATATATTAAAAGTTATAAATATTAATTTAATTTATATATATAAATATTATATATAAATTTATTACAAATTTAAAACTAATTTTTATTTTTTGATTTTTATTTAAAATTAATTTAAAATATTTTTCAAATATTTTATTATATTAAAATATTTTATATTATTAAAAATACAAAAATTTTTAAAATATTTACTTTAATAATATTATTTGAATTAGTTTTTTAAAAAATAAAAATAATATATATTTTAAATAAATTAAATAAATAAATTATATATTTATTAATAAAAATATTTTAAATTATATATTTAATATATTAATAAATATAATGATAGTAATATGAAAATATATATATTATATGTCAGATATCTATTTACATCAGTTGACAATTGACGCATATCAAATATTGATTGACATCTGATGCATGTCAATTAATGATTGATAACTGAAACATATTAACTATCAACTAACGCACGTCAGTTATCAATTAATGCAAATAATATAACTATTAAATATATATTTATAAAAAAAATAAAATGAACTAAACTCTTTAATTATTTATTTTATTTATATTTTTTTATTTATTATTGATATTTTAATTAATATATTACTAAAGCTCTGAAAGTGATCCCTCTATCCAAATTTGACAGTGGTTCTGAAGTCTAGGGACTCTGAGGGCTAGCTCTTGGGGATGTCGACCTAGGTGGCAATCTTCAGACCAGTATTACAGGGCGGGTTCTGGCTAGAACTATGTGTCTAGTCATGACTTTGAGGGATTCTCAGGTGTAGAGGTTAACATCTTAATACTCCGTTTCAAGATTCCTATGTACCGGATACTGTAACTTTAAAAAAAAAAAAAAAAAAAAAAATATTACTAAAGCTCTGAATAGTTCAGTTCAGATTATTAATCTTAAAAATACCAATCTAAATCTGAACTAAATCGTAAACTGGTAAAAATTTGAACTAAATTAGAATTTCAAATTAATTTGAAATTGCAGTTTGATTATATAAAGAATCCGCAATTTATATATGAAACTTTAGGAAGATCGTAATTTTTTGCAATTCTCCAAGAATTTTATGATATTTTTTGTGAAATATTAAAAAAAATCGCAAAATTGCAATTTTTTAAAGGTTTCATAATATTTTTGCGAAATTTGAAGAAAAATCACAATTTTTTATGACTTTCTGAAAGTTTTATAATATTTTTGCAAAATTCTAAGAGAAATCACAAAAAATTGCGATTCTCCAAGGTTTTTGCAATTTTTTGCAAAATTTGAAGAAAAATCACAAAAAATTGCGATTTTCTAAGAGTTTTGTTAAATTTTTATGATCTTCTTAGAAAATTCACAAATTTTGTGATTCTTTAAGAGTTTCATATATAATCAAACTGAACTTTCAGATTAATCTAAAATTATCAATTCAGTTCAAATTTTTTTTTTGGTTTAGATTAGAATTATAATCTAAAAAAAATTTGAAAAAAATCTAAATTTGAACTGAAAATTTTCAGATCAATTTTTATGTAATCTGAAACTGATCTGAACTGAACTGATCTGAAAAATCTTTGGATTAATCCAAACCATTCAGAGCTTTATCTATTACAAATATTTTATATATTTTAAAAACTTATTACTGTATATATTTAGCTCTAACAAAAAAAAGTAAAAAAATTAAAAATCACTTTGAAATATCCATATTCATATATATTTATTGACTATTATAATATAGTCTCTAGCGAAAAAATAGTGATGCAATCTTTTACTATATAATTAATATTTTTTTGTAGGAATTTGTATAAACAATTATATAGTATTTTATATATATTTAAAGCTTTAAACAGTTCAGTTTAGTTTGGATTAGATGCCAATCTGTATCTAAACTGAAAATTTCAGTTCAGTTTAGTTCAGATTATTAATCTTAAAAATGCCAATCTGAATCCAAACCGAATCGCAGACCAGTAAAAATCTGAACTGAACCAGAATTTTAGATTAATCTGAAATTAAGGTTCAATTATATAAGAAATCTGCAATTTATATACAAAACTCTAGAAGAATCGCAAAAATCGTGAATTTTTTTTGAGATTTACGAAATTTGAAGAGAAATTCCAATTTTTTGCAACTCTCCAAGAATTTCACAATATTTTTTGCGAAATACTAGGAAAAATCGCAAAAATTGTGATTTTCTAAGGGTTTCGTGATTTTTTGCAAAATTCGAAGAGAAATCGCAATTTTATGCGACTCTCTAATAGTTATGTGATAATTTTGTGAAATTCTAAGAGAAATCGCAAAAAATTGCGATTCTTCAAGATTTTCGCAACCTTTTTACAAAATTTGAAGAAAAACTGCAAAAAATTGCAATTCTCTAAAAGTTTCGCTAAATTTTTGCAATCCTCTTAGAGAATTCGCAAATTTTGTAATCCTTCAAGAGTTTTGCATATAATTGAACTGAATTTTTAGATTAATCCAAAATTATCAGTTCAGTTAAGATTTTTTTTCGGTTCAGATTAGAATTATAATCTGAAAAAAATCTGAACTAAATTGAAAATTTTCAGATTGATTTTTATGCAATCTGAAACTGATCTGAACTGAATTGATCTAAAAATCTTCAGATTAATCCAAACTGTTTAAAGCTTTATATGTATTACTAATCCAAATAATATGTGTATTGTTTGAAGTCTGCAATGCATATTTTAATATGAAAAATTTTTGTGATTGTGAAATAAGATCAAATTTGAATATTTGATTATTAAAATTAAAATTACAAAATATTTTATTATATTAACAAGCTTCACCCACTAATAAAAATATTCAGCTAAATGTTTTATAATAGAAATAATATATTCTAATTAAAGAAGCAGGAAATAGAAAACATAAAGTTAAATTAATAAGAAGAAAGACTAACTTTCTAATTTTTAGTATTTTAACTTGTATTTAAATCCAGATTGACAGAGAAGGAGAATACTTTTTATATTTTAATTTTTTGAGT